TGGAGTAAAGGAAGGAGAATAGAAAGGGGAGGAGAGGATGGGAGGGAAGTGGAGAGGGAAAAGGGGGGATCATGAACTGAAATGGATTCCCATGCATGTATGAGCTTGTCGGGATGAACCCAACTACTATGTAAAACTATAAAGATCTAGTAAAAAGGTGGCAGGGTATCAAGAACAGGGCTGATTGCTGTGGACAATGAATGTGGACCAGACCAAGAAGGGGCCACTACACCGCAGCCCCTGAATTGGAAAATAGGAGAGCATTTGGAAGCTTGGTCAGAGCAATTCAATGCAGTAGGTGGCAGCTAAAACCAGAAGCCCTGAAGGCACCTTTGTGATTTGAGGTTTACAGTGTGGTGCCATTAGTGGAGAGAGCTGGGCCCCCATCATAGCAAGGGTGACGATGTGCTCATCGCTCTCCAACCTGGCCTGACACATAGTTCTACCCCAAATGCCAGACTAGGAATTTCCAACCAACAACACTCCTTCCCAGCGTTGGGGATGTTTGTGTCCACCCATCCCAGTCCTAAGCAACGTGGGGGCTGGACTATTGATCTGAAGGCTGTCAGAGGGTTCAGAAGACAAGAATAGGAAACGCGAAGCCAGGCAGTGGTTGAGGACCCCCTTGGTGATCCCTCTGTCAATCTCTGACCACTCAACTTTGAGGGACCCCCGAGCTCAGGCCTTGGACTTGCTATTTAGGATCATACCACCCTGGTGAGGCACTGACAGCCCCTGAAGTGTGACTCGGGCCAGCCAGCTCTGAAACCGAAGCTCCCGACTCACAAGCCCAGCTGCCTGCCAGCCACCCCACCCTGCAAGTCCTCAGACATCTCAAACCCGCAGCAGCCTCAGCCTCCCAGGCACTCAGGTTAAAGTCCTCGGCATTTTCTTGACTTCTGTTTATCTTGTATCCCACAACAGATCCACAGGGTAGTTCTGACTTCATTGGAAATATCACCAGAACTGGACTACCTCAGGCCACGCCTGCTGCTGTCATCCTGATCCACGGATCCATCATCTCATGTGGATGATCAGGGTGGCCTTTTAACTGATCAGTTGCTAACCTGAAGATAGATTGCCTTTTCTTTTTGTTAGTTTGTTGAAATTTTTATTACTGTTTTTATTTGTTCTCCTTGGTTGTACAGGACAGCAGAATGCATCTCAATTCATCGTACACAATCGGAGCACAGCATTTCAATTCTCTGGTTGTACACGGTGGAGAGAATCACCATGTGTGCAGTCATACATGTACCTGGGGTAATGATGTCCATCTCATTCCACCGTCTTTCCCGCCCCCATAACCCGTCCCCACCCTCCCCTTTGCCCAATTCAAAGTTCCTCCATTCTCCCCATTCTCTCTCTCTTTTTTTTTTTTTGAGATGGAGTCTCGCCATGTTGCTCCTGCTGGCCTCAAACTCCTGAGCTCCTCCTGCTTCAGCCTCCTGAGCTGGTATATAATGGATGATCTTGTTGGAATGCGAAGTCAGATCATGTCACTCCTCTGCTCAGTACCTTCCATGGCCCCCAGCCTCCTCAGCCTCCCCGCCTCCTCAGCCTCCCCAGCCTCCCTAATGCTCACTTTGCTCTGGTCATCTGAGCCTCAGGCCTTTGAGGTCACCTTTGCCAGGAATGCTTTCTCCCATGTATCCATTTGGCTCCCTCCCTGCCCCCATCAAGGTTGTTGCTCCAATCCCAGTGCGGCCCTCTCCCACACCAGCCTCAAGGCTTCGGGCCTCCAACCCTGCACTTTCTTCCCTTCGCTGCTGCCTGCCTCTACCCTCCACACACTCGGGCATTCAATCTCTCTCCCACACTAGAGGGTGGGTCTCAATTGGAGGATTGATTGGTGTCATTCCCCACGTATCCTCAGCACCCAGCATGAGCTCGACTGCACAATTCTGTTGAATGAACAGAGCGTTCCTGCTCCAGGGGAGCTCTTCAGCCACCCAAAGTACCTTGTCCACTCGAGTGAGTGTTTTGTTTCTGGATCTTTCTGGACAGACATCCGCCCCACATGCTCCCTTTCCAGCTCAGCCCCAAGCCATCCACAGCTCCAGCATTCCCTGCAGGTGCTCCATGGGAGGGTGTGGGCGGCGAGCAAAAGGTGAGCCAGGAGCAAGCTTTCCCTCCAGCCAGGACATTGTCACCCCTCCTGAGGTGACACACGACACTACATGTGGTTTTGGTTATTTAAGCACGTATTTTAAATTTTTAAAGTCATTTCTGGAGCATATCAGAAACACTGGCCATCTTTTCCCCAGTGCATGAGATCCTCTTCCCAAAGACTGACCCCGGTGGGAAGTTACACGCAGTAGTAGACAGAGAAGAAGAAAGGAAGGTGGAACAAGTTCTCCCGGCCACGTGGAGGAGCAGGCCTGGAGCCCTGGGATGCAGGAACAGGACACGCAGGCTGAGAACCGGTGTCTGCGAAAACGATCCCAGAGGCATGAAAGGCAGAGGGATAGTCCAGGCACTTCACCAGACCCGTGGGCAAAGCTCACCTCCTTCACACCAGGGGGACAGTCTTCATCCTTCCACTCCAAGATTTCAAGTTTATTCTGCGCTGTTGACCAGTAACCACAGTCACGCCATTTGCATTTGTTGAATTTAGAAACTGAGGCTCCACCAAACATTCAAACCCAATTTTAAGCTTTGGGAAGGACAAAGAGAAATGCAATGTGCCAGGAGACCAATGTCGGCCCCCCCACCCCCAGAAGCCCCATGTACGCAACTGTTTCCAGCAACATCCCAGTTACATTTCAGGCAAGTCCTTCCCCCACGTTCACCAGAACTTTAATTAGCAAAAAAGCTTTAACATCAAGGTAGGCCTCATTCCCATGTGTCCCCGCTGCCCTGTGGCCTGCCTACCAGATAAATATGAATTAAAATAAAGACGAGTCACCAAGGGATTGGGTTACTCGTTCCTTCCCTGCCATTAAAGCCAATCCTCGGAGGTGGGACATGAAGCAGAACCAACCCCTGATTTTCAATTAGTTCTTTAGATTAAAAGGGGGGCGGGAAATTGGGGTTAAAAACAAGGTTTTCAAGGGGTGCAAACAGCTAACTTCAGCACGGCCTGCTCCCCAGATGCCCTGATGGAGTCGTGCAGACTTGTTCCTTCAATTTCCAGGACCCCTGGCAGCTCTGCCAGTTTCCCGTCATCTCCTGGACGTAGCATGTGATGATATAAATATGCTCTTGGCGTATAAGGGCCCATTCTCTTTCAGTCGGTGGGACGAGGCCAGCACGCTTGGCTCTCTGCTAGAAAAGGGAGACCCTCTGAATAATTGCAAGGACGTTCTTATGAAGAAGCCCAAAGAAGTTGGTGACTTCCTGACGTCTCAACTTCACAGCTGTGAGGGAGCACTGAAAGTTCTAGAATCACTGTCTTTTCCAGTGGAATAGGCACCCAGGACTCGGGGGGTGACTGGCAAATTCAATCATCTCTATTAAACAAAAGCTGGATGTAGGTTGAACACCTCTAGTCCAAACTTCTGAGACGCTCCAATAATCAAACCTTTTTGAGAGGCAACCTGATGCTCCACCTTGGATGTGGAGCATTTCGGATTTCAGAGTTTTAGATTAGGGATGTTCACTGGTAAATGCTGCACGGTTATTCCCAAATCGGAACAATATGCAATCTGAACACTTCTGGCAGCAGGTATTTGGTTGGGGTAAGGGTTCCCCAACCTGTATTTATTTTGAGGGAGACTCCCTGCTGAGTACACTTAGCACTCAGGTGTGACAATGGAATCCCCAGGGGGGCAGTGGGTTGGAGGGGGCCCAGCCCTCTGGTCAGGGCAGTGTCCAGGCATGATTAGGACAAGCAAGAAGTGGTGGGACACCCCAGCCATGGGGTTCTGGGGCAGGATGCTGCTGCCCAGGCCTGTGGGCAGCTGGAGATCCTCTCAGGGGGTCTTACCCCCTGTTCTTGGGTAGCCAAGCCCCACACAGCTGAGGTCAGCTTCCTAGGGTGAACCCGACTGACAGAAGTAAGATGAAAATTCACCCCCACTGGGCTTCTCCTTACCATGCAGAGAAACAAGGGTCCACGGAAAATCCTCCCTGACCCTTTGGAACCAGAGAGGGAAAAAGGAACCCCTAGGTGCCACTTATCTTCCACCTTTTCTCTCCTGGAGCCTTACCCCTCTACTTTGGCAGGACCAAGTTCATCTATTTCCCATGGATGAACTTCCTTGACCATTGACAACTGTCAAGTCAACGGGCAGACGGATATTCACATATGTCATGATCTTACCTGGAGATGTTCCCAAGGGTGACCCTGAGATTTCCAATCACAGGTCTGACTCATGTGGATGTCCACAATCATCCATTTTATTTGAAGATGTGTCTACACTGCATTGAACACCAACACAGGTGTGACCAAGAAACCCACAGCCCTGTCCCAGCAGGCATGGGGTCCAGTGTGTGACTGGGAAGGACTGTTATTTTTCACAGTGAGGGAGACACGGGGAGAAAGAAAGAATAGGAGAGAAGAAATGGGCATTATTCCTAACCCCTGTTCAGGAATCTGAATGCTGAAACCGAAAGCCATGTAGACTCTGAAGGCTCCTCTCAACTCCCCCTCTCAGTCAGCTGATGTTCAAGTGCAGAACCCGGTGGGCCAGCTGGCTTGGGGAGCACACGGATGCACTGTTTAAAATAACATCCACACAGGACTGCAAAAACTGGGCGGAACGGGCTGTGCTTCCAACCGATTGTTTACTTTTTCCTGTTTTATGAACTCTTCCGAGCTTATAGGACATCAGGATTGCACAACCCCAATCGTGAAAGAGCATCTGGTCAGAATAAAAACCTCTGGTGTAGGGAAAAGAATTCAGTGTATTTTTGGGAAGAGAAGCAGTGAGCATGATGGTATTCCTTTATTTTGATCCTTTCAACATGACCCTCTTGAAAGGTGTAATATGTCATAAAAACTGAATAGCTTCAGATCTTTAAATCCAGATGTTCTTTTTTTTTTTTTTTTTTTTAAAAAAAAATCAGTATTGTACAAGATTATGTCTTGCTCTCCCCAACATTCCTTGGAGGCAGAAAGCAAATGTTAAAAAACTGGCGGGTTTTACTTCCCATGTCAGAGGCACACCCAGAGCTTCTTTCTGCTTGGGGACCAGGCTTGGTTCTTGGTTTCTAGAATGGTTGAGCCTCTGGCACCACGAAGCACTTAGCAGTTTCCTCCACATCTGGGGCTGAGATCTCCATGCTCAGAACAAAGCAGCCAATCTGGAGGGTTTGGTCCTAGGGAAGAGGGAAGGCTGCCCCTGGACTCTGGTTCCCCGTGTCCAGATGGGACCAAACCTCAGCATCATGGTTTGGCTTGGAAGATGCTCGGGGAGCTTGTGAGAAGCACAGCACCAGGTACAGACTTCCTGCTGGTAATCTAAAGTGATGGCTTTGAAATGTTTATCTGGACCTTCTAAAGGCAGTTGCTTGATCACATCTTATCCAAGTTTGGACTCTCCATTTGATTATTCATACCCCATGAGCCTGTAAAAACCAGCCCATGCTGGCCCTCAACGTGTCATTTCAACAGATCAGCAATTGCAAAACGCCGGTGCCACTTACCGGCAGAGCACTGGACCTAAGGACTCAGCGGACATAAACACTCCCAGATTGCTTTGCATTTTAACCATAACAGAAAATGACGGGACACCTCCAGCACCCACTAGGTGGTACTGTCTTGGTTACAGATCAGGTCACCTGGTTGTGTTCCCTTTTCTGTGCATTTTGTCCTTTCAAATGATCTTGTATAAAGTTTGTATTTAAAATGTTTTTCAAAAGGTAAATGCTTAGAGGAGCCAAGTCTTGTGAATCATCCTTCTTGTGCTTCCTTTTGGCAAGTGGAGGGATCGCCATGGATTCTGACCCGGGTGGGCAAGCATTCATGGGTCATCTTCTCCTGTGAGCTCGGGGAATGGGAATGAGGGGAGTCAGAGGCTCTTCTTCAACACTTTGATGGAACGGCAGGATCCTTCAGCTCATTAGGGTCTGTGAAAACAGAGGGGGAATTGCTTCTTTTACTGGCACCTAGTTCTCTAAGTCTCTCCCCTGTGGAACCTTCTCGTCTCCCTGCTCCTTCCTCCTCCATACCTAGTCCTCACATAGCCACAGTCAGCCTCCCAGGCGCTTCCAAACTTGCTACAGCTCTAGCTGCATGGCTGGCCTCAGTTCCCAACCCCCAGCTGTACACCGCCCCCTCCCCCTCCCCCTCCCCCTTTACCATCTCCCCAACAGAAGTAAGAAAAGGTTTTCCTCCCGCCGTGAACTTGAATATCTTGAATTCTTAGGGAAGTTTCTTAAGGAGCAAGAAGGCCTTCCCCTCATGGATCATCAGCCTAAGGGTAGGTGATGGCCGTGTGTGGAGGCATGTAGGGCAGGAGGGAAAAGAGGGATCTAAGTAAAAAAGACCCTGTCACCAGTGGGATTCCACGTCACAATGGGAGCTTTGGCTCTGTGACAGGTGATTCTTCAGAAACCACCTTCCCCTGATGGCTGGTGGTAGGGGGATCAGGTCTCAAGTTAAAACCTGGTTTATTTATTTTTTTTCTTCTCAAGTTCAATTAGTTGGAAAATTAAGACAAGGACCCACATTTTGTCAGATCTCAGCAGAAGTCAAAGTAAGCGTCATATCTGGCCTAAGTAGATATTTGCTCTTCTGCGGAAACTTCAGACAGTACTTGAGGAGGTGACAGGCTTTTGAATGTGACTTTCACTCAGAGGTTTCCATTAGTTGGCAGGTTTGAGTCCTGAACTCAACATCGCCCGCCCACCCACCCTCCATGGGGGTGTGAGTACTTACGAGTACCCTCCCGACATTTTCCGCACAACCACAAAGATGAGCCATCCGATGAAACCGATGGCCAGTAAGACCCCAACGATGATTCCGACCAGAGTCACTGTGGCCAAGCCATCTGCATGGGAGGGGAAAGAAAACATGAGCCCCAGGTAAGAAATACACCTGTGGCACCACATGTCACACATAACAAGGCCATTGCCCTACTCTGCACAGCAAATATGAGTGGAGAAGTGTTGGGCTCTTTTCCTGTTCAGTGCTAGAGAAGGAACCCAGGGCCTTACACAAATTAGCCAAGCACTTGACCCCTGAGCTACGCCCCAGCCCTACTCTCTCTATTCGAATCTCATCTTAAATGAAAAGACTTTTGGGGGGTCTCAGGAACTATTGTGCATAACAGATGGACCTCACCTAATGGGTGGTGTTTTTATACAGCTTGTCAACTGGCTTCTACTTTGATTCCTAGTGACACCAAATTGGAGTAGAATATCATTCCCGCAGCTGTCTTTAAGTGAATCATTCACTTCTTTTCTTTTTCTCCCCCTTTTCTTCCCTCCCCCCTATTTTTTACAGTGCTAGGTGAGGAACCCAGGAATCATGGGTTACGGGTCATAGCGGCAGGGGGATTGTTCTACCAAGGCGCTACAGCCCCAGTCCTACTTCTTTTCAAGTAAAGGGAATTCTCTGTACTTGCTTTAAAAAAAAAAAAAAAAATATATATATATATATATATATATATATATATATATATATATATATGTATATGAATGAAAACTATACTCAGAAGCATTTCTCTTCTGCTCTTGTTGAATATAATACAGGAAAAATAGGCAACTCATCAAAAAAATCAGGTTTAAAGAAACTGTCTTCCATGCCCACAGGAATATTCTGAACTTGTGGTCTTGCCTACCTTTCTCGACTGTTGTTTCTGTCTCTTCAGCTACTTTCTCTGTAAAGGGAGAGATGTAGTGATATAAAATTATTAGGATTTAATAACTATGATTTAACAATTGGCAAAAGATGTACAATGTAGTAAAACATGCAAAGAAGATGATTTCTTAGATAAATTGGATGGGAATTTTAAGCAAGCACTGACATGAAACTGTCTTGGTGCCTATCATTATCAAAATCACGAACTCTTCTTCACATCTGTGGGTTCACAGCACCTCTGTATACAAGACTTGTTTTCTCATCCAATTGAGAAAGCAGAGTCAAGGACACTAAGCCACAGAGATATGAAATAAATGGTCAAAAAATTTCAGAGATTACGGTGGCGAAAGAATCCACAGCTGTGGATACTTAGTCCAATATTGAGATCATGGAAAACTTACAGACTGTGCCCAGGGCTATTGCTCACTTGGAGAGTAATACTCTAATCTGGGAAGAGGTGACAGGGCTGTGATTCCTCTCATGCCATCTATTCCCTGCTTGGGTTGCCAAATCCAGATTTCACAAGGCAGCAGCATGCCTAGCCGAGTTTCACCTGTTCATGCCACTGAATTACATTGAGATTTCTATCAGCAGTCAGATCTTCTCTAGAACTTACAATATGAATATTCTCCATTGTGAGTCTCTTCCAGATAGTTCTACACAGTTCCTAAAACAAAAGTGTTTTCCTTTGTTTCTCCATTATATACTGAGTCTATAACTCACAATTGGCCCCTAAAGTGTTGCTGGGAGCAGTCTTGAAGGACTGAACCCTCAACCTATGGGATCTGATGCTATCTTCAGGTAGATAATGTCAGAACTAAATTGGATTAGAGGATGCCCAGCTGATGTCCATGGGCAGAATTGGTTGTTTCTGTTGGCAAGGGGAGGGGTTTGCATTTGATGTCAGAGGTGATCTGTGTTGGGAGGAGGAGAGTCTTGAGTCTGAATTTAGGGTTGGTTTTCCCAACACACTAGCCAACCATCATCTAAAAGATGCTTACTTTTACCAGTTGGTTGGCTTTGAAATAATCCACTCACTTTGTATCAAGAGTCTCCTCAAAATAAGATACCTTTTCAAGATGGCCCCAGGGTAGTTCCCCAGACCCAGGTCTCCCTGCATGAGCTGATCCCATGGCTCTGGGACACTTATACAGAGTGTATGTTGAGCATTCTACCCTCAGATAATGGGGAGGAGACTGTTGGGTTTGAGCCTCCCAGAGCAGAGGGTCGTGGAATCAAACTGTCATCCTGGGTAGCCAACTGCAGCAGTGATATAATATATAATATAGCTCAATCTTTGCTTATCAGGTCCTAGCCTGGTGGCAACTGATTCTAGGCTCAAAACACACTGTTATCATCACTGAAGGCACTCTGGGTTAGAAAATGCTTTACTGAAAATAAAGTTGATGCAAGACTCTACTAATTGAGAGCTTTTAGTTCTGTATTCCCCAGTCCCTCCCAATGATGCTGTCCGTGATCATGAGCATGTGTCATGCATGGGAACATCATCCTACTTGGGCACTCCATGGGAAAACTGGCCATCTGCTGCCCTAATAAAATTACCTCTTAAAATCCAGTTCTCAGAATGACAGTTTTAACTCTTATGGGAAATATCTCAGGATAATGAGGCTCAAAGTGGGATTGAGTATGTAACAGAATCTCCTTCCCTTTTAAGGCTGAATAATATTCTGTTGCACATATATACTATTTTTATTTATCCATTCATTGGTCCATGGACACTTGGGTTGCTTCCATATTTTAACTATTGTGGATGCTGCTTCCTATGAACATGGGAGTACAATATAAAAACATTTTTTAAGTCCTCAGATATGCTATAGAGTTTAAAAACCAGATTGGCATCTGACCCAGAAGTGTTTATTGAAGGATAATATGGTTGGGGGCAGTGGTGTGTGCCTGTGGTCCCAGTTATTGGAGATGCTGACACAAGAGGATTTTGAGTTCAAGGCTAGTCTTAGAGACCCCAACTCAAAGAAAAAAATACAAAAATGTGCATTGCTGATGGGGATATAGCTCCATGGTAGAGCATTTGTCTAGCAAGCACAAGGCCCTGGGTTCAATGCCCAGCATTACACACACACACACACACACACACACACACACACACACTCTCTCACACATATACAGACTGACTTTCTGTGTTTAAATGTGTAGTTGGTTTGGGGAATTAGTTTGGGAGAACACTGTTTAAAGCATGGTCTTTACACTGGCTTTTCATCTTAAAGACAGAAACATAAAATCTAATTAGATGAAACAATTTATATAAAACTTCTCCAGTTAGCAAGCACTCCTTGGAGTTACTTGAAGATTTGCTCTTTTTCTCTCCTGCTACAAAATAAGGTACATTTAAAAAAAAATCTCAAATAGCTGGATTTCTTTTAAGAAATCTCTGGAAGTAGGAATGAACCCATCCATTGCTGAGCATGACCTTCCCTCATGCTCATCAGCAAAGGTCTAATTCTCAGGATAATGGTAATGACCCCAAAGCCCCCTCCAAAGCTTCTCCATTTGCATTGTGCTAACCACAAATCACAAATACAACCCCAGATCCTGATCCATCTGGTGTAGAAGATCCTTGCTCCACATATGCAGACATGAACTTCATGTGAGAGGGTTAGTGTTAGTGTAGAATCTATCAAGATTTACTTAGGCTGGCCGAGTTTCATGCCGTTGATAGCATGAAGTTCTTGGTGCAGGGTCAGGAGCTACTTAACTCGCCCTGGCAGGGGCCATATCACTAGCTGTCATTCAAGGTAGAGATAAATTTCCAGCAACCTGATAGTTCAAATTTGATTTAGCAACTCATAAATTGAATTCTGAACCCACCTCACAAAGCTTGGTTCAGAACTCACTCTTTCTTTCTTTCTTCTTTTTAAAAATTTTTTTAAATTTTTATTTTTTAGGTCCTGGGGATTGAACTCAGGGATATTTTCCACTGAGCTACACCCCCAGCCCTTTTTATTTTTTATTTTGAGACAGGGTCTTGCTAAGTTGCTGAGCTGGCCTCAAACTTGCAATCCTCCTGACTCAGCCTCCCTTGTTGCTGGGATTACAGGAGCGCATCGTGGTGCCCACTCTTGCATTATAAACATATCCCCTGTTATTACATTTGTTCATGGACTTTTGGAAGGTGTGGGCAAAAGCAGGTCCAACCCTACTGGGGTGACGGGTCTCCTTACCTTTGGAGCGGCTAGTTGCTACATCAGGGACTGTGGTGCTATGGCTTTCTTCGTGAGTGTGGACTGAGCCTTCTTGGGTGGGCAGATCCTCAATGGGAACGTCTGTTCTACTCTCTGCATTTGTTGGCGCCTATTAGACATGCAAATGAGGCAAAATAGAAAATAAAGCCTAATGTTTTAAAGTGCATACTCTGGCTTACAACAGAAAAGGGTTTAAGGTGGCATAAATATACACAAGACACGATGGCACAAATTCAAAGTGGAACCAAGAAACCAAAACAAGAAGGATGGGAACAGGAATAAAACCAGGTCTCCTCCAAGAACGGATTCCAAATGTTCGACATGCTGACTTGCTGGTGGGTAATTTCTTCCAAAACCCACCAGACCACAAAGCTTTAATACTTGCTTTTCCATTAACCCGAGTAGCACTTTTTCCCTGTAACCTGTATTGGGCATACACCTGAATCATCCTTCACCTCCTCCCTCCCCTAGTGAGAGTGACCACTAGCCATTGCTGGGAGCTTACATGGCCCCCGGCGCTTTAAGTGGTTTCTCACTTACTCCACACACGACCTTGGGAAATAGATCCTACTATTAGTCCTATTGTACGAACAAAGCTTAGAATGATTTGACAATATGCCCAAACTTGTGTCACCCTGTAAACGACAGGGCAGGACTTGAGTAGTGCTGGGTTAATGGTTTACTACAGAGAGTATCACAGAGGATGCCCATGAAGAGATTCACAGGGCCAGAGAACATAGGAGGGGGCAGAGCTTCTAGGCCCTCTCTGGGCACCACTCTCCAGGGGCCTCCAGGAACTCAGCTTTCTAGAAGCTCCCTGGACCTCATCCTTCTGAATCCACACAGAGACTGTATTGCCTATGCATGATGGATTCAATCACTGGCCAATGGTGACCAGTTTCAGCCCTCTCCCTTCCCTGGAGGTTGGAGTGAAACTGAGAGTCCTTTTAATCCCACCTCGGTCTTTCTGGGGACCAGCCCCACTCCAGAAGCTACCCAGGGGCTGGCAGCTATTAGTCAACTCATCAGCATAGAAAAAGACACTTAGCACTTTGAAGATTCCAAAGAAGTGGTTCTGCTGACTCCAAAGTCCATGTCAATGTAGCAGTTGACAAACTAGTGAGCCTAGGCAACAAAATCAAAATCGGACAAATAGAATCACATCAAACTTAAAATTGTGAGTGCACCCATGGGCACCAGCCACGGGGGGAAAAGGCCACCCACCTACATGGAAGAAAATATTTGCAAATCATTTATCTGGTAAGGGGTATAAAGAACTACAACGGAACAACAAAAAGAACCCACAAAACTCGGGCAAAGGTCTGCAGTAGAGGTTTCTCTAAGGATGCTATACAAATGGCTCACAGGCTTATGAATCCATGCTCAGCATCACTCATCAGAGAAATGCAGATCAAAACTGTGATGAGCTAGGTTTGCGCTCGCTTCTGTTAGAAGGGCTGCTATGAATGTATATATCCTTGTGCACCAAAGTGGGAGAACTGCTGTGGAGAGCAGTATGGCAGCTCTTCAAAACAGTAAATCTAGAACTATCTGCTTTCAGATAGCAGCACTATCTGAAAGTGGTTCTTGAGTACCTAAAAGAATTCCAAGCAGGGCGTTAAAGAGAGATCTGCACACCCACAGGAAACAGTGCTGCTAGGAAGCACTATTGGCAAACGCGGAAGCAGGCCAGCCATCTACCAGCAGAGAGCCGGGTGGCCAAATGTGGCACACACACACGGACACTCAACCTTAAAAAGGGAGGAATTCCTGACACATGAAGCAACACAGACGAACCTTAAGGAGACTTTGCTAAGTAAAATAAACCAGTCCCCAGAAGACAAATACTGTGAGGTTCCCTTGTGAGCTATCCAGAGAAGTCGAAATCAGAGACAGAAAATAGATAGGGTGCTAACAGGCACCAGGGGCTTAGAGAAGGGAAGGATGAGGAGCTGCTGCTGAGAGGGCACAGAACTTCAGATTCATAAGGCAAAAAAAGTTCTGCAGGTCTGTTTAGCCATGCAAATATACTTAGAACTGCAGAACTATACACTTAACATAGTTATGATGGTGAATTTTATCTTCTGTGCTTTTTACTAGAAACTACTGTGGGTCCAGCATATTTCCAAACCCTTGGGATATAATGAGTAACAAAAATTCCCCACTAGCAGTCTGGGGCTGGGTGGCAGGGTGTGAAGACTTAATATGTAAACAAATACAAAAGATCATTTTAAGTAACTTTAAGAGCTTTGAAGAAAACATAGACTGGACTGGACTGGACTAGCAGTTGGCAAACTTTTTCTCTAAAGACCAAAATGGTGCATGTTCTCAGCCTTGCAGGCCCAAACCGTTCAGCTCTGCTCTTACAGTGTGAATGCCACCAGATCCTTCTCACCCAAATAGCCATTTCTGTGTTCCAATAAAACTTTATTGACAGGAACAGTCAGTGGGACACGTCTGGTAGGTAACTTGCTGACCTCAGGGCTGGAGGGATGGGATGCTTTAGATAACATCTCTTTGAGATAACTCAGCACTTGAGTCATGAGAAAGTCAGCCAGGGAGGGTGAGGGAGTGTTGCAGGAGGAGGAAAGAGAAGCTGAAGTTGGAACCAGCTTGGTGTTCAAAGATCAGAGAGGCCAAAGGCAAAGCAAAGGTCAGGTGGGCAGGAGCCTCCATCTTGTTAACCAATGAGTCGTCAACTCCTAGATGATTGACGGTGTGTCTCACAGCCTCCGCCCTGGGCCTGGCCTCTTGTCTTGTCTAGGGCAGTTGCCTGAGATATGTGTCAGTGACAGTTCATTAGGGTAGGATGTGTGTCCACACGGAATCCACGTGGGTTATACCAGCGTGGTCTGTGGGATGATTCCAGTTCATGCTCATTACTGGTCTACATAGGGAGGCAGGAAATGGAGACTGCACATTGGGGAACTTGTATCAGTGACATTGCCACAAGGTGCGAGAAGACAGTTGACTGTACTGAAACTGTGCTGTAACGCAGGAGAAGTTTTAAAACCTGGCTCTTTCCGAGTCTGGCTCTTTCTGAGTCTGACCCCTGGGCTAGTCCTCTCAAGTCACCTGTCAGTATACCACCTCCCCACTGGACGGAATTGGAAGCATGCCACTCATGATCCCTTGGTAAAGTGGCTTATGTTGATTTTACGTACAATACACATTCTATCCTTCTTCCAAGAGAGGAGCAGATTCGTCTCTTCCCAAGATACTCACCAGAGCCGTTGGGCCAGAAGATGCAGAGAACTCTTCAGTGGTGCCTGTGGTCACGATGTTGTCTTCTATAGCTGGAGTAGCTGAGTCGTCTTTTGCACCTGGGGTCACAAGGTCATCTTCTAGCTGGCCTGTGATGGCTGAAGAAAAATGGAGTTAGGGTTTAAGACAGAAACAGTGTGGGCCGACCTGACCGGCCAGCTGCAGCCAGATGATTTTGTTTCCCATCTCTTGCGGCGCTTTTATTTAATTTTGGTCTTTTTTTGGCCTATCACAGTGCCAGGAACCAAACTATTGTCCTTGCAGGACCTGGGGCACACACAGTGGCCTGGTTGTCTCCATTAATGGAAACACAAAGAGATGAAGCAGCCAGCCCTTTCCCCGGATTCGACCGAGATGGGTTGCACACAGGTGTGAACACCTTTCCCAAAGGAAGCAGGTTCTTCCTGCCACTGATTCCTATGATGAGTCAATGCATTCAGATGAGTAGAATATCATTTAACCTGGAAAAGATTCTTAACAGAAGCACCTGGAAACATCTCTAAACCTACCTAATTGCAGGATCAGTGCAAACCTGCTGAATCACAATGTCCAAAATAAGGGTCTCTGTCTTTTTAGAATCAAGCTCTCAAGGCTGGAATGAAATAGATAAATAGATAGAAGTTCTCTCTCCATTTAGTTTTGAGACTACTGTGCACTTGGATGACAAGGACCATGGGCTCTAGTACAGACCTAGTAGACACAGTTCAACTTGTTAGTTCACTGCTTGCTGGAGGGTTGGTAATGTACTCAAGGGCATCAAGACACCCATACAACTCTTAGTGCCAATAAATAAGCAAATTAGGGCTCACTGGCCCACTCTGCCTTTTCTGTGCCAACAAGGGGATGAATGACTGGGCGGTGCCAGGGAGAGGGGTTTCCAGTGGAGTGAGGCGCTGGTGGAGAACAGGGCGAATCCCTCAGTGGGGAGCGCTTTGGTTCAATCGCACCTCCCTAGGCTTCATGTATTGGAAAACTAATCCCCAAATTCATATGCTGATGGCATTTGAAAGTGTGGCTTTTAAGATATCATTAGATAGGTGATCAGGGTAGGCCCCTTAGGATGGGATTGGTGGCTAAATAAGAAGAGGAAGAGGTTATAATGCAGCAAGATGGCTCCTACCAGATGCTCTTGCACTGCCCAGCCAGAACCATAAGCCAAATAAATGTTTATTCTTTTTTTGGGGGGGTGGGGTGGGGTGGGGGGACTAGGGATTGACTTCAGGGACACTCAACCACTGAGTCACATCCTCAGCCCTATTTCGTATTTTATTTAGAGACAAGGTCTCACTGAGTCACTTAGCACCTCGCTCTTGCTGAGGCTGCCTTTGAACTCGTGATCCTCCTGCCTCAGCCTCCTGAGCTGCTGGGATTACAGGCATGTGCCACCATACCCAGCATGTCCTAGTCTTTATAAACTCCCTAGTATCAGGTATTTTATTATAGCAACAGAAAATGGGCTCAAACAGGAGAGAATAGAATATAGCAGTGTCCTCTTCCACCTCTGTTGCAATGATCCAGAACTAGTCATGACTGTGCCCAAGCATCATCTCTGAACTCACCAGATAATCCTTTTCATGAGTTAAAAATCTGACTCACTGACCATGGGCTTCCTCTCCAGACTGGAGTGGTTCTAGAAATTCCATGACTAAATACAGTTGCAAAATAAGCAAGCACGTGCATCCCGGGAGCAGGAGGAAGGGTGCTTGGAGACCTTTTTGTGTAATTAAAGAGCAGATGTTCATCTGTAGCTAGGCAGTGCTCAAATTAGCAATCCATTCCTTGCCTACGGAGCCTTATTTTCCCTCTGTTTAGACAACGCAGCCAGAAGCACAGCTAATAAATATTTGATCATAAGTTCTCTGCAGATGCCTGGAGGGAGGAGGCCCCCAGAGGAAACCCGCTCACTTCCTGAGCCTCCTGTCTGCATCTCAAGTCCTTATCCAGCTGCGGATCAATGGCTTTGGGTGGACTTAAGCACATGCATTCATTTCTCTATCTTGGGAATGGGGAAAAGGCTTTGAATTGAATAACTCAGGGCATGCAAATGGGTCGCCTCTTCTGCTGGTCATTTACTGGGCTGGGAGGATGGCAATGGTGGGTCCCACAGGATTTATGAGTCTGTAGAGTGGGCAAATATTTACTGTATTTATTAAGCTCAACGGGAATATTCTTTTGCCAGGCAAGTGTCCTTATTAAAAAACTAAGCATCCTGTTTTCTTCCCTCCACTTAAAAAATGTCTTTTGGATCTGTTCAGCAAAATCACTTGCTACGTGGCGTCTGTAACTTAAAACAAAACAACCCTTGCTTAAATAATAAAAAAAAAAGTACTGAATGAATTTGATTTGAATTCTTTCATCGAGAGCTCAGTTCAATGAAAGCGTAACTTGATAAAAATTCCCTCTTGTTCTTTGCTAGCCCTGGCCCTCAGAGCCAAACACCCAAATCGCTCTGAATGGACAAAGGATGTTTTATGAATGACAGTCAGGATTCAGAAGCAGGTCCTTTGTCCCATGGCCTCCGCTTTCTTTCTGCACCATGGGAAAGTTGATCTTTACAAGAGTCCTCAATCGTTCCTCTTATTATTTTGGCCAAAGGCTTTCCTGGGTGAAGAGATGCTCTAGGCCTGCTGCGGAGTTTCCAGCCAGCGTCTGACGTCCTGTCCCCCTGTCCTCCTGAAGCCACATATTGATGTCTCCTTGCTCATGGGTCCTTCTAAGACACATGCAAGCTCACAAGCACAAGGGCACATGCACATACTCACACACCACTGTTCACACAGGTGATACCCACAGCCAGGTGCACAGAGAGTTCTAGAGCCTTGGACCCTGCTAGGCACCTTCAAACCTCTTCTTGTCACACCCAACCTCGGCCAGCATGAGGAATCAGTGGACGTTTCCAAATCGGGCAGGAACCTTTTATTTACCTGGACAATTTTCTGTTGTCATTCTTTAAAAACTGAGGCCATGATTTATACTACTTAGGAGATTGGACAAATCAACTTAAGGTTCTTCATTTTGAAAATAAAGATCTGAAACAATGTTTATTTGTATCTAAGTGCTAATTATGAATGATTTTTAACTTTGTAGTAAAGTCCAACATCTCACCAGGTGCAGTAGAGCATGCCTGTAATCCCAGTGGCTTGGGGGGCTGATGCAGGAGGATCACGAGTTCAAAGTCAGCCTCAGCAACTTGGTGAGACCCTAAAAAACTCAGAGAGGCCCTGTCTCTAAAAAAAAAAAAAAAATACAAAAGGGCTGGGAATGTGGCTCAGTGCTTATAGAGATGATTCAAGTTTACACATAGCATTTCTTAAAATATATTTTAGAATTTAGATACAACATTAAATCGGGATAGTGCTGGAATTATAATACTCCCAAATTCTTAATCTTTTGAATATATGGTTAATCCTTTGGTTTTATTTGCCTCCCTTTGGTTTGTGGTGATGACTGTCTCTAGCTATCTGGTTACTACCCTTTGAGAATGTCTTCTTTGTGGCCTTTTTTCTTTTATGCTACTATTCATCTTTTTTGTAGCAGCTAGTGCTAATCAGACCTTAAGAACACATTCTTTGGACTAGATGCGGCAGACTGCTTTTTTGCTGGTTGGCATTTGCCTCTTTTGCAAATGGCAAGCTCTGTTGGTACTCATCATCATCTTTTTTTTTTTTTCTGTTTATTTTCTTCCTTTGAAGCCATGCTCCCAAATGCTTCCTCTAGAGTACGTAAATGTCCATCTATGCTTTCCCCAAGGTTTTGTCGTTACATTGAATATCTACATTTTTCTTGTGTTTATTTTGCAGTCTCGTGTAAAATGGGAACACAGGTTCCAGAGTCACAGAATGACGTTTCGGTCAATGACAACACAACCATGTCCCATAAGATTGAAATGAAGCTGGAAATTTTTTTCTTTTTATTTATTTATTTGTACTGAGGATCTAGCACTAGGGTGTTTAACCACTAAGCCCTTTTTATTTTCGTTTTGAGACAGGGTCTCACTAAGTTCTAGGGCCTTGCTAAGTTACTGAGGCTGGCCTGAAACTTGCAATCCTCCTTATTCAGCTTCCTGAGTCGCTGGGATTATAGACGCGTGCCACCCATGCCCAGATGGAAAATTCTATCACCTAGTGACACTACGGTTGTCACAATGTCATAGCACCACAGATTCTGGTGTGTGCAAACCTACTGCACTGCCAGTTGGATAAAAGTGTAACTAGCACACCCAAGTATCTGATGCATGTAATCCTTGCTAATGACAATAAACAGCCACATGGCTGGTCTGGGTGTCTAGTGTGCTTTTGGTCATATCTTAGCGTGTACCCCTACTGCTTAATGGCCACCACGGTCCCTTCTGATTGCATCCAAAGACCATGTCAAGTGATTGACCTCTTCCACCCAAGTTCATGTCAGTGTCCTCGGTGACAGTCGCATCACAACAAAATCGCCTAACAGTGATCTGAGTGTGTCCCTGTCCTTAAGTGGCACTTCACTGTAATCTGACTCCCTGGCAAAAGGTGAGAGTTATTCTGACAATTTTTTTTACCCATGGCTTCCAAACACCCAGCTCTCACTGAGACAAGCTTCTTCCAGTGTCTGTGTTATAGTCACAGGAGAGACTGCCCAGCACGAGGGCCAGCTCCGATGGCCTGACCACTGCCCGCTCCTCCTGCCCCCACACTGGCTTGTCTTGCTGTCTCGACAAACTGATTCCTAAATCTGTGCTCCCTTCCACAAGCTCCCCGCCCTTCCTCCATCAGCTGGTAGCTCCCAGTGAAGTGGGTGCCCAGGAGGAGCTAGAATCAGTGTGGGAAGAGAGGGGGCGGGGGTTCCTCACACAGAGGGGCATGCAGGTGTCCCATGGAAGACAACACCCAGCCACCCCCTCACCTCTGCTGGCCACTGCAGGGTTTCTGGGTCCTCTTCCTGCTGACCATTCCACAACAGCCCGAGGGAGGGGTGAGGGGCATCACTGCCCCCTTAACAGACGAGGACATGAGGCCAGAGGGGACTTCTTGATCACCTTCTGTCAGGCTCCTCTGAGTCCTCTTCTCACGAAGCACGCCCCCCCCCCCCCCCGTGGGTCCCTGAGCCCGCCCTGCCG